TTTATTTTATATGATTTTTTTTTCATTTAAAATTAGGATTTAGAATATCGATTGATATATCTTTGTTTCCTGAATATTTTTATACTGTTTCTGAAACAAACGTTACACATAAAGAAGTTTTATATTATGAGCCCCATACATATGAAGCAGACCAATTGTAAAACAAATGTATGTTTATCAATACAGTAAATGTTAGTCTTAAATCACTACTAGAATACTGTGTATTTCCGGCGCACAAATTCCGCCGGAAAAATTCAGGCGGATTACCGGCGGACAACTAAAAAGGTTGACTTCCGACGTAAATCCGCCGGAAAACCAACCGGTAGATTTCTTAATTGATTATTTTAGATTTGTATTTAAATATAATTACAATAATTTATCGGCAGATATTTAATTAATCTTTTAAAATTAATATCCGTTGGAAAGTAATTATAAATTAAAATTTATTTTTAACAGTTTCCGGTGGAATCCCGCGGTAATATTTATTCAAGATTTTATTAAAAAAATCAAATCTTTTCCGGCGGTAATGAGAAAAAATTATGTAAAACAATATCTTAAGATAAAAGTTCTCATGGTTATCAGAATATATGAAGTTATCAAATGATTAAACCCCCTCCCTGTTCATTAATCGCTTATCTGTTTTTCTAAAAACTAATTGTTGATTTTTTTTGTTAACAAATGAAGTATTAAAGTAATGCTATGTCTTTTTTGATGACGAATTCAGTTATTGAATAATTTTACAAGTGAAGCGAGCCTTTTCTTTATATTTTAGTTTCAATATAAAGTAAATATTATACTTGTAAAGTGCAAAAAAATGCAGCAAAGTATGTCAAATAATTTGATCTTCCCATCAGGAAACCTAGGTCATTAATGGGGACGGACCCACTGTGGTCCAGCCACCCGTCACCGTACCGTTCCTTCGGGTTGTGGTGTAAAAAAGTTGAGGGTTTTTTACCGTATTATTTTGTTGGTGCAATCATATATATATATTTGAAACTACAATGATAACACAAGTTTCTTTTAATTTAGCAGAGTTGGTTTATACGACTTTACTGCTATTTTAACCTTGGTTTGAATTTTGTTTGTATCATTTCTTTTAGTTTCGATCTTTTAATTTTAGGTTTGTTATGCTTTTAAAAAAGTTTGCGATTAAAGACTTAAACACAAAACCTCACATAAAAAAACAATGAACTAACCAGCAGACCAATAATGATTTTGTAAAAAAAAAAGTCCATAACTTCGTTTTTTATAATCTAATGGTGGCACAACTTGAAAATTTTATAGATCCGCCTCTGGTCGTTCAGGTCATTGTTTCCCTAAGCCTTTGGCACCGACATGAAGCATACCGTTGAAGAATTCAAAACATATCAAAACGACAAAAAGGGAAAGCTGAGTAAAGCCGAGTGGTCAGTGAAGAAAAAGATATCACCCATGATGTCGATTGTGAAGGCGGTGTTTGTCAGTATATTATCAGACTGTTTCGAAATGTTGTTGCTGTTACGTTCTCGTATACCACCCAAACATTATGAATACAACAAAAGCATCGAATACCGATTATTATCCATCAACATTAGCATTCATGTTATGTTTTAAATAAGGTAAAATGGTTATTTTAGTTTAACTTTTATGGGTGTGACATGCATGCGTGGATAGACCAAATTCATTTTGGTAGGGCGTCTTTTTCAAAAGTGCCCCTATGCTTTTCTGAAATTAAAGTTTCTTTCTTCTGATTTGGCCTTTTTCTTTTTCTGGTCATAACCAAAAAGCCACCTGTACGACTCATGGTTTTGACTACTACCTTTATATTTTTCTTAATTTTTTAGCAAAAGATTGAGTAACGATAACGCCGACCGGCCTTATACGGTACCCGTTCTTAAAGGAATCTAATGTGAGTAGGCTATTTAAAACTTACCTGGCGGCAAGACAGATGGAGGCCCGAACTTGAATCTGAGACTAATGACTTTTTGAGCAAACATCTACTTATCCCTTGAGTCAACTAAACTACACGCCAGATGTTTATTCTATATCTTAAATCTCATATTTCTAATTTTGTAAGTCGTTTGGTAGAAGTTAAAAAAAATTGAAAATGAAAAAAAGGGTTCCAATATTACGTTGATTTATTATATCAGATCGGAACTGATTTTATAATACCAATATTGATGATTTTGACTATTCGTAATATAATTTCCATCTATTTAAATTCTATTTGGAATGAAAGGATAAATATAATGAAAAATCTTGAAAGTCTCATGTTATAATGTTACATGATTCATTATAGAATTAATTTTTCTTTTATATTTTTAAGACGGATTATCAAACATTTTTTTTCTCGTCAAAACAAATATTGTGATAAGATCATGAATTTCTGAAATATTTTGCGTTGATCAAAACTTAGGGGCTGTTTACTAAACGTTTATCTGATAAGTATTTATTGGGCAATTTTCCTTACCAAACACACCAAAAGTTTCAAATTATTTCAAATCCAAATCTTTTTAAATCCCACAAAATCATTTTTGGTTCCTTAATTTAAGAGGTTGTTTACCTAAATGTTTATCCGGTAAGCGCTTACCGCTAGAAGTTAACACTATAATTTATTTTCTATGTAAGATTGTAGTATATTAAAATGTTATCGTGTGCAACAATATATATGGTAAGCGCTTACCCGGGTAAGAGTGTCACCCTCACTTACCGGGTAAAATTCTCTATCCTTATCATCGCTCTTACCATGTAAGATTCTTGGGTCTTGTCATGTTCGTCCAGTGAGGAAAATTACTTGATAAACACCTACCAGGTAAGCATTTAGTAAACGACCCATAAATGAAATTTTATATGAATCTTGAAGAAAAAATGAGGGGACAAATCAAGTCATTACTTTATTCTTTCAATTTCTTTTTCTTGTTCCAACTCATCTATCCAACAAATGTTACTAAACAACGAAAATGTCATACAAACTTACAAGTTTGTACCAACAAACAAAAGATGTCGTATCTGACATCTCAGAAAACGATAAGTATAGTGTTTGAAACGTTAAGTTTTAGGATCATGTGCCTTTCAAAAAAAAGTTTAGGATCGTATTTAAGATCATTGTAAGTACAAATTTAAAATAAGTCTTTATCTACCAATTATGAGTTAGAACCGAGTCAAAATACACATGAACAAACGAGCTGAAAGAGTCAATCCCATCCTGAATGAGCTGATGAAAACCTGAATCCAATATTCAAGTGGGCTCTTCTTTTTCGATTCAAGCAAGTCGATCGTAAGGTGAATTGGTGACCTGACTGAAGCCATTCCTAGCCACCATTGCTTTCGAAAAGAAAAAAAATCAGGATATGTCGAAATGGATAATTACATGTTAAATCGATCCGTTAACTCTTTTATCTATTTTTAAAAGCTGATATGTTAAACTCAATTATATAATCGTTGATAAATTTATATATTGATTATATAATTATATTTTTATAATTGAATTAGTGGTAAAAGATAATGTGAGAAGGGAAGTAAATTAAATTTGCAAAATGAATCTTTTGAAAGTATAATGTTGTAATAAGAAACGTATGTCTCATGTTAGGGGTGTTCATCAGTTGAAGTCCATGTGGATCCAATCATCCATTGGATGTTGGATTTTGTGAGCAGATCCGATCCAAATCTAATGGATGATTGGATCGGATTGGTTCCATCAATTGGATGTTACGATTGGTTATCCATTGGATTGGATGATTGGGTTCATCTAATTTTTTGATCCAATATTCAAACAATTATTCATATATTTTCTTAAGTTATTAAAAAACAATATACATAAATATCAACTAAAAAATACCAAAGGGCCTTTGGCCTAGTGGTATGTGAGTTTTTGGTCTTCTAGGAGGTCAATGGTTCAAACCTACCAAAGATGAGGAGGGTATGTGAGTTTATTTATTTTATTTGCCGTATATAAATATTATATAATTCAAAAAAAAAAACTAAAAAATATCGTGAAATGTTAATAATTATATATACTTATTAATTGGATATTAGTTGGATGATAATTGGATGGGGAATTAGATGGCCATTGAATTGGATAGGTTTAGTTTTATTGGATGTTGGACTGTCATCCAAGAACCAATCGATTGATCCGATTTGGATATTGAATCTTGGATCGATCTGATCATGTTACAATTGGATATCCGATTATGGCCTGTCAATTACCTACATCGGTTGATTTAAATTGGATCGGATGATTTATGTACACCCTGTGGACAATGACATGGCATGGAAACATGTTATCTTAATTCAAATAAAAAAGTTACTCGTTAAAATTGATCCAATTTTCAAAGTTACAATGTTTTAATAAAAAATAATTCGAAAGTATGTTCATCTAATAATAAAAAATGAAAGTACAATATTATAATAAAAAAAATTATAAAAGTATCTTGTTATTTCATGCATTTAATCCTTTTAATAATACACAACAACATAATTGGGTTTACAAATACGTCTAAAATTGGTTATTTTACTAATTTCTTTTATGTATTTTGATGATTTATATGATTTTATCGTCTATAAATTAACTCTAAAATAAAATATTTCCCAGAAAATTAAGAGGAAAAAAATGGGCACAGAGATTGCCCCTACTTGAAGGCAAGGGAACACACTTACCCCTTTTCGAAAGCAACTTATTCCATCTTCATCATTCACATCAACCAATTAACTACCAGTTTAAGATGATTATAGACGAGATCAAGGCAAAAATACGTATCAAGACTTGCAACACAAACTACATTGATGATCAATGGACCCCCTCAAATTTATATATATTTTTTGAACTGTTGATGATCTCATCTTAATTATGTCGGTAGCTAACCTGAATTTCTATCACATGCTATAGCTAGAAAAAGGAAAGAAAGAAATCAAGTAATTTTTGTTACTTGTTTTCTTTTGGAAGCAATCTCCACTATAAAGCACCTTCCAACCTTGACACATATGCACTCACTCATCAACCTAGATTCAAACACACACACACCATGGTTTCAGTTAGGAATCCACCCAAGATCGTCTGTGTGATTGGCGCTGGCCCATCTGGGTTAGTGGCCGCTAGAGAGCTCAAGAAAGAGGGCCACAAAGTGGTGGTTTTGGAACAGAATCATGATGTTGGAGGCCAATGGCTCTATGATCCTAGACTTGATCAGGATGGAAAGGCCATTCATAGCAGCATCTATGAGTCGTTGAGGCTCACGTCTCCTAGGGAGATCATGGGGTTTACTGATTTCCCTTTCTTGATGAAGAAAGGTAGGGATACAAGGAGATTTCCAGGTCACAAGGAGCTTCTGTTGTATCTAAAGGATTTCTGTGAATGGTTTGGTTTGAGGGAGATGATTAGGTTCAATACTAGAGTGGAGTATGTTGGGATTCAGGATTATGGTGGTCTTGGAAAAGATTTAAGATGGATTGTTAAGAGCAAACTTAAAGATTCTGATCACAAGGTGGTTGCTCAAGTGTTTGATGCTGTGGTTGTGGCCACTGGACATTATTCTCATCCTAGATTGCCTTCTATCAAAGGTTCAAATCATCTCTATATCTATATCTATCTATATTTTTAGTGTGTGTGTGTGTATATATATATATATATATCCATAACATCTGGTTTTTTTCTTTGAAACTATGAAGGAATGGATGCATGGAAAAGAAAGCAAATGCATAGTCATGTATATAGGGTTCCAGAGCCATTTCGGGACCAGGTAATTATCGAATACTGTAATCTCTTTATGTTGAGCTTCTTTTTATGGTGTGGGTGTGTTTTTAATGGATGGTTGTTTAAGGAAGTCGGATATTTTGCAGGTGGTAGTGGTGGTGGGGAACTCACTAAGTGGACAGGATATATCAATGGAGCTTGTGAATGTAGCCAAAGAGATCCACATAAGTGCCAAATCACCTGCTGTTTCAGAGGGTCTATCAAAAGTCATCTCCAAATATGACAATTTACATCTTCATCCAATCGTACCATCCCTCCATTTCTTCACCAATCTTATAAAATAATTACAGCAGTTTAGTGCCGTTGTTTTAACGTGTACCATTCGTTGCAGATAGAATGTCTACACGAAGATGGAAGGGTCGTGTTTGCGGACGGTTCATGGCTCACTGCAGACACAATCATATACTGCACAGGGTAACATATCATATATATAACTTTAGTCATACACAAACACAATCAATTAAGGAAGTGAATAGTGGGTTATATACATATTCACATATGCATGCAGGTATTCATATTCATTCCCATTTCTTGACACCAAAGGAGCAGTAGCTGTGGATGATGACAGAGTGGGACCATTATATGAACACACTTTTCCCCCAAACCTTGCACCATCTCTCTCCTTTATAGGCATTCCTAGAAAGGTATACTTTTTCCTTTTCTTTACTTGTTCAAAAATCCAACTACATACTCATATACCATTAAAAGCTTTCTTTTTGAAGTTAACTGTTTTGATTGATGGATGTAGATCATAGGGTTCCCTTTCTTTGAATCACAAGCAAAATGGATAGCTCAGTTGCTGTCTGGCAAGAGAACTTTGCCATCAAGAGATGAAATGATGAAGTCCATTCATGACCTGTATCAATCTAGGGAAGCTGCTGGCATTCCTAAGCATAATACTCATGATGTAGCCGATTTCGAGGTAGTTGACTACACTTTGACCATTACTTATATAAGGTTTGGGTTCTTTTGGAAGGTAAGGTTCACATATATTCTTGCATGGTATCAATAATCTAATTAAGCTTTTGATGTTGCAGTACTGTGATAAGTATGGTGATCATGTTGGATTCCCTCACTTGGAAGAATGGAGGAAAGATCTTTGTATTTCAGCTCTGATCAACTCAGATGTCAACTTGGAGACCTATCGGGATCACTACGACGACGAACAACTGCTTCAAGTGGCTCATCAAAGCCCTCATTTTACTCAACTTGAAGCTGAAGCTGTTTCCCTGTAAATCAATATTAAATATTCATATATATATATATATATTATATAATATATAATATGGGTAGTATTCCACCAAAGGTTTTTGTTGTTTCTGAAAGCAAAGATCAATAGAATATGCTTCTGCTTTCAAAAACAAAATTACTTGGATAACAACCCAAGGGTGGCATGCAATGGCAAAGTGTAGCTTGTTGGAAAATATCAATATAAGACTTGGATATGGATTTTTGATTCTTCTAAATATCATACATATGCTTCTTTATTGATATTTATTTGATTGTGAGAATATGTGTGACGGATGCCTAGTCCACCAAATAATAAATTCCAACTACGAACTAATTACAACAAAAATTGTAATAGCGGTAAGTCGGGTCAAATCCATAGGGACTCGGTTTAATTTACTATGTCTAAAAAAATCAAATACAAGGCGACGGCTTAAAAGTAATTACAAAAAGGAGGGGTGGATTTGATTAATTAGACTAAACATGCGATTAAAATTTATTATAGACGATTGGAATAAAAAGAACCTCGACTTTGGATTATTAATGCAACTCTATTCACGAGTTGTTATCATTGATGATGTATAAGGTTACCGCGTATACTTCTCTTTTTTTTAAGCAACATTTGAGTAAATATGCTTCATTTTCACGCCATTTGAATTCGTATGCCCAGTCTAGAACCCATTTCATAAGTATGCTCAGCTTCATATTCCTTCAGAAAACTATGCCCGACCTTGTAATAGTTTCAAAATATATGCTCTGTTTGTATTAAAATCCATCATTTTGGCACCTATCAAATACCAATCAATAACTAAATTAAAGAGGTTCTATAAGTTATATAAACATTACAATATGTACTAGATTCATTATAAAAACATGTTTAAATATAAGTTTATCAATGTGGAACCCGTTCGTTACATTACTCTCTAAACTAGCCCTTGTGATGAAAATTGGAGGTTTCAAACATATCGAGAACAATTTTAGTCAAGCCTACTGATGTGGAATCAAACACACTCCCTACAACATAGGCCAAACCGGCACAGGTTGCCTTGGAGTGTTGATTCTGATATCATATAGGAATACATGGAACCCCGTCGTTAGATTAATGTCTAAAAGAGCTATTGAAGAAATGGAGTTCATAAAATATGGAAGAGAATTGGTCCAAGTCCAACTGATATATTGTTGATTCATATTTGTAAATTTATGGACAAGATACAATCCCATAACTAAAATCCCTTGGACCTAGCAGAAATTCGAACCAAAGTATCTAGAACCTCCTTCATATTTGGTCGGGATTGAGGTTCATCAGTTGTGCACCTCACTCCCAACCATAACAAGTCACGCATTTCAACCATTCCTTCACTCATCCCCGACACCAAGAACGACATCGGAATCACAAACCGCCGCCCCCTCACCCTTCTCGACCACTCAACCAAACACTCCCCTCCACCTTCCACCGCCCTCCTCCCTGTCGCTAACTCCATTACCAACACACCGTAGCTATAGACATCACCTTTTGTGGTGGCTTGCCATGTTTGCCCATACTCCGGTGCCACATACCCAACCGTCCCAGCCACCATCGTGCTAACATGGCTGTCGCCGGCGTCCATAATCCGAGCCAGCCCGAAATCCGTCACATGAGCCTTCCCCTTCTTGTCTAGTAACACATTGCTAGCTTTTACGTCTCGATGAACGATTGCAGGATTACACTCATGGTGTAAGAACACCAAGGCATGAGCTACATCAATGGCGACATTGATTCGCCGCCTCCATGGGAACCCAATTCTATCGTGAATCAGATCTTCTAAAGTGCCACCTTCCATATACTCGTAAACCAGTAGTTTTTCCGATCCATCCAAGCACCATCCATAAAGTGTCACGAGGTTTGGGTGTGGCCAGCCGAAGCCATTTCCGGTGAGTACTTCCATTTCAGCTTTAAACTCTTTTTCCCCCTCTATGCCCTCTCTTAGCTTCTTTTTCACTGCCACGACTCTGCCGTCCGGCAATACTCCTCGGTAAACCGTCCCAAAACCACCCCTCCCTATGATTCTGTCGTTTGAGAAGTTTCCCGTCGCATTCAAAATGTCTGCATGTGTGAACGCCGTTTTGTCCAAACTGATTACCTTCACCGTGTCGGATAACCACGGTGAAGAGCCGGCGGTGCCATTTCCAGACTTTGTTTCCCACAGCAGAAATTGTGGTTGATCGGAAGTGCTCTTGGTTGCTAGGCAGACGATGATTGTCATGACACCACACACCAAGAAAGCTAGCAATAGAAAGATGAAAACCAAAACTGCTCCCCATTTTTGTGGTGTTGATATCCCGTCACTGGTTGCAGATGAAGTGTTTGATGAATTGTCTATGAAAGAAGGCAGGCGTAACAATGGGTCACCGAGATATGACCATATCTCAAAAGTAGCAAGTTGTCCCGTCTCTGGAATGGAGCCTGAGATATACGGATTGTAGGAGACGTTGAAGCTACTCAAATCTGTCAAATTGTTCAAGTTGGTCGGAAATTTACCAGAGAAATTGTTGTATGATAAGTCAAGATTCCTCAAACACTTGAGATTGCCAAGCTGCCTTGGAACTCGACCAGAGAATTTGTTTTGAGAAACATTCAACACAACGAGCGTCATTCCTCCGATCTCATCTGGAAGTGTACCGGAAAATTCGTTTCCCCCCACGTGCAACATGCTGTAGTCACCCATCTTCCCGATACCCGGCGGTATCTGTCCAGATAAACGATTTCCACTGAGTTGAAGATAGCCCGATATCGGCTGTACTCGGATGTTGGATTCCGGGAGGCAAACCGGAAAAATCCCATATCCTTTAAGTATCTTATCCCATAAACTCTTACATTTCTTCATGTTAAGAAGTGTATACACAAAGCTGAATGGCTGGTAATCCGCTGGTATCCATCTTCTCAAGGTCGAGCATTCTCCTGAGTCCTCAATGAGACTATCTTGTCTGTTTATTAGGAAAGTCGGTGTAGCATTCTTCCCCATGTTGGTAAGCTCCGGCCAAATTGGACCGGTGAGTTGATTGTTTTGAAGATTCAGCCACAACAAGCTGCTACAATTCCCTAACTCTGGTGGCAATTGGCCCGTTAATGAATTATTAGCAACCATCAACCATAAAAGAGACGACAAATGTCCGAAACTTGGTGGGATTGGTCCGTCTAGGTGATTGTTAGAGAGATCAAGAGCTTGGAGTCCTAGCAAGCTTCCGTATTCTGAAGGTATGCTGCCGGAGAATTGGTTGTTTGCAAGAAATAAGTACTTCAAACTTGCCATCTGAGAGATTTCGACCGGCAACAGACCTGACAGATTGTTGTAACTCAGGTCTAGGCTTGAAACATTCTGCAGCCGGAGTATTCCTGATGTGCTCAACCCGCCGGAGTATCTGTTCGAATGTAGGAGCAGAGTTTTGACTTGAGTTAGATGTCCGAGAATCTCTTGTATATCGCCTCCAAAACTGTTCCTGCTTAAATCCAAGAACTCCAACTTCTTCAAGCCAAGTAAAGATTCTGGAATTTGGCTGTCAAGGGTGTTGTTGCCTAAGGAAAGCTGTTGAAGGTTTGGAATCAATCCAAGTTCTCCTGGAATTTTCCCAGAGAAGTAGTTTCCCCACAGGTTTAAGATGGTTAAATTCTTGCAATTTGAAATCTCCTTGGGGATTTCTCCAGCGAGTGAGTTTTCCGACAGGTCCAATTCCTGTAAACTGCAGTTTTCTGGAAAAATCCAGGTCTGGAGCTTGTTGTTTAGCCGGTTTTCACACACTGCAAACTTCTTGAACCTGTGGAATCCAAACCAGAGGTTTCCGGTGAGTGAATTTGCGCTCAAGTCGACGTATTCCAGCTTGGGGCACCCATCAATTGAGCTTCCAATTTCTCCCGAGAATTTATTTTCCGAGAGGTTAGCAACCACTAGGCTGCTGCAGATAATCGGAAAACTCATGGAAATGTTGCCGGAGAATCTGTTGACGGATAAGTCTAATATTTCCAGGCTGCTGAGTCCACTCAAATTAAGCTCACCATCAATCATGTTGTGTGACAGGTTCAATACTTTGAGGTTTTGGCAGCTACCCAAGTCCACCGGAAGGCTGCCGCCGATGGTGTTTGTCGATAAGTCGAGGTAAGCAAGCTCCGTCAAAGCCGAGAAGTTCCCGAATATCTTTCCAGCAATGTTGTTGTAGGAGAGGTTGATCCCGATGACTCGGTTGCCGGAGCAGGAAATTCCCGGCCATGTGCAAGGCGACGATGCTTGTGAGTCCCATTGCTTATAGGCCCCTTGATTCACTTTATTCCCCTGTTCTAGAAATGATCTGAGTCCGAGGAGTGCCTCCTTGTCGGAATCAAGTAAGTCTCCAATGGCTTCTCTTCCTGAAACTAAATTCAAGTTTAATGATTCATAATCTCTTTTTTCAAAAATGAAAACTATTTAAAGCTGATATTTTCTGGGTGTTGATCAAGAACTGGCATCGAAGAAACCCAAGAGATAAACAAGAATTACCTGTGACTAAAATCAAGAAGACGATGAATACAAATTTTCCTGCAAACATGACTCTGCTTCTTCGTTATTCTGCTTTATGGAACTTAACTCAATTGGTTCTTCTGATTCATCATGGTTGAAATGAATGAGAAAATGTGGAAGGATTCAATGGGAATATAGAGAGCGCCTGCAGATATTGGAAGAACAAATCCAGGTACAACCAAAAAGTATACTATATTGTTAGGTGTAGTTTTGTTTAATATTGTTTGTAGGTCAACGATGACGATGCATAATAGTTTGAAAAAAATATAATGATGGTGAATTTTTAACAATTGTGGTTTTTTTTTTAAATATTATTTGTTTTGTTTTGTTGGATTAAAATAAAAAATAAATTAGTATGTATTATTTATTTATTATATTAACAAACCTTTGTGGGGTATGGGTTGGTATGCACGTGCGAATGCACGTGTACAACGGTTTGTTTGGTTCATTTGGACATTTCCTTAATCTTCTGCCATTTGACACCTTTTGGAAGCTTAAACTTATTCTTAATACAAAATAAAAACTTTTGTTTAATATTTGTTTTTTAAGGGACTATTTGACAATTACTGAATGGTTTGGTGTAAAATGATTAAGTGGTCAGAATGATTAAGAGGCTTTTATATAGTACAAAATGAAATATAATTTATTTGGTAATTGTGTACAATTAAATTAGGACTCTTAATGGTTAAAAGAGTTCCATGATATAAAATCATTCAGAGGGTTTTAGAACCATTAAGATTTTTTGCCAAACAAAATCCACCTCTTAACGATTTAGATGATGTCTCTTAATGGAACTGTTAAGAGGTAAACAAACAACCCCTAAAATTTAAGTAATATCGATCATTTGTTATTTTATTCTTAGTTTTGACAAACCCGATTGAACGTGGTTTTGTTATGGGTCTTATTGAGTTAATGGTACTTGATGTTTTGATATTATGACGGTATGTTAGTAGATTTGTCAAAAATTTATGTATTATTTTTGTTTGTTTTTAGTAAAAATGTTAAATATTATCAGCCTATGTAAACCGAGATGATTTAGATTAAAAGCTAATAACATATTAACGAAATCAACTCATATGGTTAGGATATTTAATGACTTTTTGTAATCATTTTCTTAATACTAGAAGGGTACTCGCACAATACAGCGAGATACATCTTGATTTTAATTTTTCGTTTTATATTTTGGATCTATCAATATTATGATGCTATGTAGATCTGAGAAAAAAAAATGTTTTTATTTTTTAATGAAATATAAATTTGAAGAATCATAAAATTTTGAAAAAAATATGTGATATTAGTATTAAATTAACTATTTAAAAGTTCTCATTTTTATGTAATTTCTTTGATTCAAAATTTTATTATAATTTAATTGAAATTTAAAAACGAATTAATAATTATTTTGTTATAACTCAATAATTATCCTAATTATATTTTAATTTTTTTATATTTTAAAATGAAATGTTTATTCTATATTTGATTATGTTTACCTATAGTTAGTTACATGAATTCAAACATGAAGTTTTAATAAGTTGTACTTATGAACAATTTACTTGTAATCTTGAATTTTAAGTAATATGCATCAATAAACAGTACTTCATGTATAAAAAACGGTTTTTATAAGTTTTTGTCAAATGCTTTATAATATAGTATAAATAATAAATGGTTTTTAATATATATATATATAAGAAAAATTCAAATAATTAAAATAAAACAAATTGTAGTAACTTACACGGTTGGATTAGTACGATAATTATAATTCATTAATTAAAAATTAAATAAATAAACCATATAATTATTGGCTAATGGACGTATGCATCCACATCATTGACCGGGAATTGCTCAAATGAAAGGGCTATTTTCTTTTTTTATAGGAAAAAACTTAACTTCTTGTAAAAGATTCATTCATAAAAACTTATTGAATAAGTCATTCTTTATGTTATTAATACAGCTGACCAAATAAACTGTGAATCTCCTTAAGCTCATTAAGTTGCTAACAAACAAGCCCTAACTTTCATAATTTGGATTAGTATCTTACATTGATTCAAAATCAAATTGAATCGAAACCAAAAAATTGGAACTATAGAAATCGAAAAACTAAACTGATAGGTAATGGTTTAATTATGATATAAAACTAGTTTGATAGAACCATATAAAAGACACTACCATATTAAAACCAAATGAAATAACAAATGATGAAATCGAACATAATATGAACGTATTTGGTTTCAGTTTAAAAAATCAGTTTGGTCTCAAACTACTTGATTTGCTAACACCCATCTCAGATGGGCGTCAGGGTATCACCAAAAACCCAACCTAATAACGTTGTCATATTGTTTGTGTTAAAATATACATGGCGCCTTTCATTCTCTTTTTACAAGGGTTATTGTCAAAATATATTTACTCTTTGTTATTGTGTTTAGCATGAACTATATAGCCTAGTTTCAAGTAGACAAAATAAAGAGCGATATAGAGTTCAGAAAGCCAGTGAATAACCTTATCAAATCTTTACTTCTCGTCGGTTCATCTATTAGCCAGCACAATGGCATGTGGTGACTCGAAGTAGCTATCTTGATTTAGTGGTTTGCTTGAATCGTTTACTTCCTGCTGACCACCGTATCTTTTTGCATACTTGAATCGACCAAACCCATGAATCCTAAATGACAAGTTTCAGTTGTAGAAACCTTACATCTTCCTATTGAAAAGCATGTTGCTATTAAAATCACTGGTTGTAGTTAAGGTCCCGTTCTCTCCTTGTCCCACCATTCATATGAATCATATCATTGTTTTAATTAATACTAGAAGGGTACTCGTACAATGCAGCGAAATAAATCTCCATTTTAATGTTTAGTTTTTATTATTTGTCTCTATCGATATATTACGATTTTATGTTGGTTTTGAGAAATCGATAATGTTTTTATTTTTGAATTAAAATATAAATTTGAAGATTGCATAAAAAAAAAATCGATATTAATATTAAATTAACTATTTAATAATTCTCGTTTTTTTGTGTAACTTATTTAATTTCAATTTTTTAGTATAATTTAATTTAAGTCTAATAACGAAGTAATTTATTTTTTGGTTTAATAATATAATTTTTATTAAAGATAATAATTAAACATTCGGTTAGAAACTCAATGATTGTCTTAATTGTATTTTAGATTTTCTATATATAAAATAGATGTTTATCCTGTATTTCATTATGTTTATCTGCAGTTAGTTACACGAATTTAAAAATGAAGCTTTAATAAGTTGCACTTACGCCAAAATCACTTGTAATCTTACATTTTAAGTAATATGCATCAATAAACAGTACTTCATGCATAAAAAATGATTTTTAAGAGTTTTTGTCAAATGCTTTATAATATAGTATAGATAATATAATATTTATTCAATATATCATAATTTTCAACAAATTAATATGCATATGATTGAGGATAGTAGATTATTACTTGTTGAGGCTTGGGTTGCTTCTTAAAAGGCTAAAAGGTGAAGCCCATAATTAATATTTATTGAGGCTCGAGCTATTGTTTAAAGGCCCATTAAAAAGCCCAATTCGAATTTTAGAAGAAAAAAACAAGTTGAGTCGTTTTGTTTTGAACCGACCCGATTTAAACAAGTTTGATTTTCGGTTCCGATATTTTTTTTAACATTTGCGTAATTCGATCACGTTTTGATCCGATTAGGAATCGTAATTATCCATAACTGCCTCTTTTTGTAATTTAACTTATTGTCAAATAAATAAATAAGATAGGTCGATAAATCATTATTACCAAGAAACTTCGTTTGAATTATCATTTTTAGTATGTTAAAAATGATCAAACTACACGTTTTCGAAAATAAATTTCTTCCCTAAATACCTTTGTTTTGTCCTATCTCCAACTAGAAATGGCAAAAGGCCGATTTTTGGGTCCGAGTCAATCTAGTGTGCAACCCCAAAATGTGGTAACTAAAGAAATATGAAATGAAAAGAAAGGAAAGGAAAATAAAACTGGTTTTTCTTTTGTTGGATATCTGAAGAAAAGCATGAAAAAGGGACAATTATGATATTTAATGAAAGTGAGAAGTAAATAAAGCAGTTTATGCTCACTTGGACTAAAAATTAAACAAAATGTCAAATTGGGGGTGAAAACGTAATATCAGCCAAAGCGTTAAAGTTAGAGGACCGAATGTCATTACTGCATAGTCTAGGGGAGTGTAAGGCGTCAACTGTTCCAAGCGTCAGGGACATGTCCTGCCAAAAGGACCAGTCTGTTTGTTTTGTTTTCGGACTTTTGAAAGAGACGATTTTTTGTTGTCCGTTGAAGCTCTTCATTGGCTTATTTAGTCAAAGGAAAAGTTAAAAGTTTCATATTTAAGTATCTAAGGTCTTTAACTTTATTTTTGATTCAAGAAAATCGAGAGAGAAATTGGAGATCGAAAGTAAATATCCGAAATTTCGGTTTATCGACGATTGAAAGTAAAATACTAAACCAAATATCGAGTTCTTTATATAGTTAGCCTCGTTTTAAGTCCTCTATTGAACCTTAATAGCCTTATGTCTCATATTTTAGCTTTGAAGGTGCGATTTTGAGTTATTTTACTGATTGACCCCAACTTTAAATGGGAAATGAGACTCAATACTTGATGATTTTCGTTCATTCTTGTTGCTATTATTCGGTAAAATCTTTTTTTTGGAGTTTTAGTAAAAAGAACCAGTGAGAACGAACCAAAAATAAGGCCTAACGAGCTGAAGAAGTTGTTGCTCGCGGTAGCCACTGCGTCAAGTTAGATTATACGAATCACAGTAACCTATCTTTCACATGGCGCACGATTCCATGAGGTTGACCGAGTTGACCAATGGTTGATTTTTTTACCTTGTTTGACCCACAAGTATTTTAACGATGAGATCAAATGGAGATATTTGAACACTAAAAGACTCGATTTTTGTGACAGCCGTCAAATTCGAACTCCCAGGTTAGCTCTTATTAAGTTTGTATTAGTGTTATTGAAGATAATTTATAAGATTAGGAGTTAGTTAGGTTAGTTTGGTCGAAAATTTCTAARAGATTCCGGCAGTTGCTTAGAAAGTCCGGTTCCGACCAGAAATTATTTGAAACGTCCCATACAGTACCAAATGCTCTAATTTATACCCAATTTATATAA